ATTATACTTTTACTTTTACCAAAATACAAACTACACCCATTTCACAACTTCTCAGCAATCTCTTACATATCCAATATCTTAAACTAAACATCAAGTCCTAATTTGTTCAAAAATCCAAAAATCTTACATTTTCAAAATGTGTACAGTGAGTGTGAAAAAAATCGATAAATAATTTGTTAAAACACCCACAAATCTTACCTTGTCAAAATGCTATGAAATCGATGATAGTTTCACATCTAAAGACATCGACGACAGCGACGACAAAATTTGCAGGAATAAAGGGTTTTTGCAGTCGGTTATATTACGAAGCTAAAGATATTGGCTTCTTCGTTCAACAGATAGATGGCAGCCGGAGATGGTAAAGAGAACGAATACGAAGTTGGCAATAATTAATGGTTCACGATGTAGGTTCGACGAGGGGAAAGTGGGATAGGCTTTCGGTTGGAATAAAAAAAATGACGTGTTTCATTCAAAAAATTGATGGGTTTTTTTTTTTTTTTGTGGCTAAAAACGCTTGATAGCTCATCTGTATTCTTCTGTCAACAGTCTTCTATACATGGTACAACATTGCATTGCACTAATGCCTCTTGTATAGAAGACGGCTGATAGAACCCATACAAAAATTTAAAAATTGATACGTAGAGTGAGTTTTTGGTGATTGACCAATTTGGTCAAAAAATCTAAAAAAGGAAAGAGACCAAATGTTTGGATTAACATATCACATTAGTTCATTACCCCCACTACAAAGATTTCACCCGCCCCTGCCGAATCCTCCACTTTTGGATCTGAAGTCATCTTATACATTTCCATCGACTACCTCCCAAATCTAAAGTCACAACTGTCGGCTATGATGAAAACCCCAACATACTTACCCGCAACAACATCACACCCCGACTGTGAAGATGGTGATGTCCAACTCCGATGATGGCCAAAAATGTAGTCTTCAAATAACAAGGAACCCAAGGACCTCTATTGAGAAAAAGCATGCTAATTGTCATACTTTCTTGATTAAAAGATGTACAAAGTTTGGTAGACTTTTCCCAAATATTGTAACTTAAGTTAATTGTGATAGTGCACTTTGATTGCCATTCCTGCTCAATTTTATGAAATAGGCACTGCATTATACTTTTACCAAAATACAAACTATGTCCATTTCACAACTTCTCAACAATCTCATACATATCCCATATCTTCAACAAAACATCAAGTCCTAATTTGTTCAAAAACCCAAAAATCTTAAAGTGTACAGTGAGTGTGAAAAAACCCATAAATAATTTTTTGAAACACCTTCAAATCTTACCATTTTAAAATGCTATGAAATCGGTGATAGTTCCACGTTTGAGACATCGCCGACAGCCAGAGATTATGATGATAGCGACAGCAAAATTAGTAGGAATAAAGGGTTTATGCAGTTAGTAATATTACAAAGATAGAGATATTGACTTCTTTATTGTTCAAAGGATAGATAGCAGGTAGAGATGGCGAAGAAAACCTGAAGGAGTTCATAGGAATTAATGATTCACGATGTGGGTTCAGCGAGAAGAAAGTGGGATTTGGTTGGAATAAAAAAAATTTGACATTTGCTCGTTCAAAAAATGGTTAGTTTTTTTTTTTCACTAAAAACGATTGATAGCTCATCTGGAATTCTTCTGTCAACCGTCTTCTGTACACATAGTTGCATTGCTCTACACTAAAGCCTCTTGTATAGAAGACGGCTGATAGAACCCATACAGAAATTTAAAAATTGATGTGTACAATGAGTTTTTGGTGATTGACCAATTTGGTCTAAAAATAAAAATAAAAATTGAAAAATTGAAAAAAAAGAAAGAGACCAAATGTTTGGATTAACACACCACATTAGTTCATTTCCCTCCACTACTGAGATTTCTCTCGCCCCCGCCGAATCCTCCCACTTCTGAGATGTCCCTGTCGAATCCCCCACTTCTCGATCTAAAGTCGTCTTGTACATTTTCCCCAACTACCTCTCGAATCTGAAGTCACAACTGTCGACTATGGCTAAAACCCCAGTGTACTCACCCGAGACAACATCACTCCCCGACTATGAAGACGGCGATGCCCAACTCTGACGACAGCCAAAAATGTAGTTTCCAAATAGCAAGAAACCCAACAACCTCTATTGAGACAAAGCATGCTAATTGTTACTCTCTTCATTAAAAGATTTACATGGGTTTGCTTTTCCTAAATATTGTAGCTTAAGTTAATTGTGAGAATGCACTATGATTGCCATTGCTGCTGAATTTTATGAGATAGGCATCACATTATACTTTTACTTTTACCAAAATACAAACTACACCCATTTCACAACTTCTCAGCAATCTCTTACATATCCAATATCTTAAACTAAACATCAAGTCCTAATTTGTTCAAAAATCCAAAAATCTTACATTTTCAAAATGTGTACAGTGAGTGTAAAAAAATCGATAAATAATTTGTTAAAACACCCACAAATCTTACCTTGTCAAAATGCTATGAAATCGATGATAGTTTCACATCTAAAGACATCGACGACAGCGACGACAAAATTAGCAGGAATAAAGGGTTTTTGCAGTCGGTTATATTACGAAGCTAAAGATATTGGCTTCTTCGTTCAACAGATAGATGGCAGCCGGAGATGGTAAAGAGAACGAATACGAAGTTGGCAATAATTAATGGTTCACGATGTAGGTTCGACGAGGGGAAAGTGGGATAGGCTTTCGGTTGGAATAAAAAAAATGACGTGTTTCATTCAAAAAATTGATGGGTTTTTTTTTTTTTTTTTTTTTGGTTAAAAACTATATATCTAAATATCCGCAACAGTTATTGAACGTTACTATAGAATGCACTTTTAATAACGGTCAATAAACGTTGTGAAAAATAAAGCTTTCCATAACATTCACTTACATATTCGTTGCGATAGACACCTTTAACAACATTCAAATAACAAATATTGGTTGTAGTGGTTTGATATTCTTGAACTCATGCGAAACTTCGTTCTTCCTTCAAAAGCCACAAATGTAGATTCTACATACAACAAATTTTGACTTACGAACTTATTTCTCAATGAAAAATAGATAAAGAAATTTAAAAAATTTAAACTGAACCCATCTAGTAATTGTATTTCAACTAATGTGTGATGTCAAAAACAATGTGTTTGACTTGGAATTATAAATGTCACTAGACATACATTACTATTATTATTTACTAGTAGTATTATTATTGTTATTTTTTTCTTTTTCTTTTTATACCAAGCTGCTGCGACGTGGGGAACTGCCGCGCCTTTACATAAATCTATAATTAATTGACTATATTGTAACTTTGATTCAAACAATTTGCACATCCCGAATGAGAATAATTGAAGAAATCGTAACATAGTAGTTGACCGTATATTGTGAAGGTCCAAAAAGCTTGCATTCGCTTGAATAAATTGGCTTAGAATAGAGATAAAACGATAAAACTTAAATGATCTAGTATGCTTTTGAATGATTTGATTTAATTGATGAACAAAAAAGTGATTTATATAATCGATTTAACTATTTATTCATTTGTTATTGTTGATCTTAACCATTGAGGTCTAAAGTAGAAATGGATTGACACGATTCTTGATTGAAGCACAAAATACCAGAATACTGAACTATGAAGTAAGAATTTTAGATTCGTGAGACAAGCAAAAAACTTGAGCCCAAAGATTTTCTTTAATTAATCATTTTTTACCCTTTTCTTTTGACGCTGATGAAATTCTACATTAGAATGGAGCCGTGATGAAAATTGTACATTTTTTGCGATAGATTCATTCTCTCTATTTCTTTGCATGACCTAATTAAATTTTGTTGCTTACTCTGGCTTACGAATTCAAATGCAGCATTTGCAAGAAATATTAAAGGCTAGCCGGTAGAACTGAGTACCTTTTTTTGTTGATTACCAAATGGAACACCTCAAAAGGTGGTCTCGACTCCACTCAACTCGGCACGATTGAAAATGTGTCGGATGTCCACTTGACGTAGTCTATTTAACACCTCTACGTATTTTGTACATCATGTTACATACAAAATGTAATCTAAAACTTGAGTATCAAAAAATTAATACTTATATAACTCTGTCTCTATTTGATTGTATCTGACTTATCCATTTGATTGTATCTGACTTATAATAAACAAATATTTAATCCCTATTTTAAAAAAGTCGCTTTCTTAGTGTTTCAAACTACTAGCCGTTAAGACTACTATGTAAGGAAAGTAAGGAAGTGGGCATTATAATGAAAACTTAGGGAAAAATGATGTTTCACTATTTTGAAGAGTGATATTCGGAGAATAAATGGTTAAAAAGTCGTAAAAAATTTTGAGTTTGCATATAAAATATTTTGTTTAGTGAATGTGTGATTGTAAATAAGTATGGCTATTTAAAATATCATTACGTAATTGTAGATTTAATGAAGTTAAGAACATAAATGGAGTAATTATGCATTAACATTTTAAAACTTAATTCAACCCTAGTTATTAAATGGTACTGTTACCAATTATCGAGTCATTTGGCCATTGCTAGTCACTGTGGCTTCATAAATAATCTTTTCCATTGATGTCTGAGTTATACGTCTACCAAAAAAATAAATACATACTAACATATAAAATATAGCTAAAATTGTCCCCATCAAAGTTATAAAATTGGATCATACCAGCCAATTCGATAAAAAGCTATCAAGAATCACATTGAAGCCAAGATAAAACGGATGATTCAATCCTTGAGACTACACTGTAAATATAGAGGAGTAGTTTACTTGGGGAAAAAAAATCACGTCTTGTAACAATTTCGTACAATAATTACTGATAATAACGGTAGAATGTAGCTCATACTATCTTACGCCTAAAGATGAGAATTTATAATCACTGACTATTAATAGCATTATTCTTTCAGAATAATATTGAAAGTTTATACTTAACCATCAAAAAAGGGGGAAAAACTTGTGTTGCCAAAGACAAGCAAGAATGGTTAAAACATTTATAATATAAACTAAGAAATTTTGTTTCCATTCATATAGATTACACAACAAAACTACATAAGTACAGTTATAATAACAACATGACATTGATTGTCTGTAGTAATACAAATACAAAGATAAGGATGCTACAGCCGGCAAATGAGTGATCAGAAACGCTCAAAAAAAACTTCATTCTCGATTCCACGATTCTTTACTAAAGCCTTTAACTCCTTTCTCTTCGTCAGTGAAAGGACCGATCAAATAGAAGATGATTCACAGAAATTAGAGTCTCGAAATTAAGTGCCAGGAGTCGAGAATATCCAATTTGTTCTAACGTTATTTGATTCACAGAAATTAGAGTCTCGAAATTAAGTGCCAGGAGTCGAGAATATCCAATTTGTTCTAACGTTTTGAGAGGGTCTTCTTCATCGTACTGTTTCATCGCACGGCTTGTTCGATAGATGCAAGTGACGATCCCTGATCAGCACCGCATAAATTGCGCGTGTTTCTCCTCGTGGGTTTCTTGACCTCTAATTTCATTCCTGGCTGTCGTACCTTTACTCCTCGTATCATCTGTATCAAACGCACAAGAATCATTCATATTAAACGATGTATAAACTACTCTAGTTAAACCGCCTAGCTCAGTTCGAAATTAAAATAATTTTTAAAGCTATAAACACATATGGAAAAAGAGCCAAAAATAAGGAAATTCAAGAGTTAATGAAGAATGTGTATATATATATATATAGGAATGATCTCCTAAGTACCGGTACTTAGCTTATGTTAAGCACCTCATATCATTTAATTGGTGAATCATTAAATACATGGAACTTATCATTAACTTATTTATCAATTAAATGATTGTCATATCATCGATACTTAATATAAACTAAATAAGAGATCATATATATCTACACTTAAAAAAAGAAACACACAAATCTTACATATTTGCCACATTTTGTGTCCGAGTAGATCACAATGAAATCTCCCTCTTGAAGGCCATTCACTCTCACAAAATCTCCTAATGACCATTAACCAACCTCATAATTAAAACATTAATTATATCACCAACAATTACACATTAATAAGTAATGGAAATTTTGATTAATTACCTGTGTTTTCAAGAAGGTACATTCTACTTTTGTTGTTTGGCCAAAACCTGGAAAAAAATTACTCAATTTAAAAACTTAAAAAATAAAAAATAAAATTTGAATTTGCCTTACTAACATCTTCCGATTTCGATAATATACACAAATCGGATTTGAAGGGATATGTTACGTACCTATAGCGCATATTCCAAACACGAGATGTTCCAATGTCTTCCATGGCGATTGAAATTCCATCCCTAGATTCCAGCTCTGGGAGATGGCTTTCTGCTTCTTTCTGATAAATCAAAGTTTAACTTTATCAGATTTAATTAATTAGATAGAGATAAGAATTACAAATGTACCATAAATAATTCAATTATAATTTTAAAAAACTAATAAAAGTTTAAAGAGATTACTTTAGGCAACACAATCCTTCCCAGATTACCAACATCACTTTGCTTTAAAACTTTCTGCAGCAAAAATTTCAGGTTCTTTTCTGTCTTCCAACCCTACACGCACAAACACGAGAAAATATCATTTTGAGTAACAAAATTCACAGTCCATTCATAGAAATTTTATGGGATAATTGTAACGGATCAATAATGCGTCCTTGATTGATATTTATTAGTGTTCCGTTGGACAAGTAAATTTCAATGTAATGGACTAATGGATAATCTGAAAGAGAAATTTAAGGCAAGAAAATTAACCTGCTGCTGCATCCGATTCGAAGAAGCTTGTCTCTGATAATTTTGCTGCTGCGAGGAGGGTCGATCAGCAGCATGCCCTTGAGATGCATCGGAAGATGGGATCATTCCTCCAGTTGAAGGAGAAGAGGTATGGGG